GTTTACACTATTTTCTAAGATATGACCAAACTACTATTGAATTTGTATGGCTACTACCAGAAAGAGCCAAGCAATTTCAACGACTTTTATCAAACACATTGGTCCTACTAATAGATTCGCTTGTGTGAAATTTCAATATTACAGCTTCTATAGTTTCTGAGGTATAGCCAAATAAATTTTGAAGTTGTATGGCAGCTACCCGAATCAGTGCCCCGATTATATCCAATTTAAATAAGGTTCTGGCTCTAATAAATTTTTTGTGAAAATTTGGTGATTTTAGCTCAATCAGTTTTTGAGTTATCGTTAGGACGGAGGGACGGGCAAAGCTAAATCGATTCAGAATTTGACGCTGATCAAAATCATACACTTGAGTCTATATTCCAGATCATTAATTCTTAGCGTTACAAACGGTAAGGCAAATTTAGTATACCCTTCGAACATACGTTACGGTATAAAAATTTTTTTTAGTTTAACTTAAAACTTATGTCAAATATTATAGTTGCCATACTCCACCAATAAACAGTAACAAAATTATTTGTTATTTTTTATTGGTGGAATATGAGTTTGAATAAAAGTTTCACAGTTTGAATTTGATAAGATTCAGAATTCAGAGTCAGAACACGCTTATATTAGACGAAAAAAATGTTGTTCTGACAGCTCTGATTTCGAAAACGAACACCACACAGTTTTTTCTGCAATTAATGACTTTTCAAATTTGAAGTATTGTGCTCCGGGAAGCCTGAAAGTGATCTGAACATGTCCAAAATTCTTATTGTAAAAAAAACACGAATTTTAGCTCTAAGAAATCCGAGTTAAAAAACGAACGAATCAATTCTTTGACAGATTTAAATATGCTCTGAAGTAAAAACGAAAACACTCTTTGAAATTTATGTATGTCAATTTAAATATACAAGAATAGTATACTCGCTTAAATGCTAATTTTGTCCTTATATAAACTGAAACCACTTACATATTATAATAAAAACCGGATATAAGCACCGAGAATCATGCAATTTTATGATATGATAATTGGGAGGTTTAACGTAATACGCTTATGTATATAACACATAAATTTCTCCTAATAGAAATATCCCATAAATATTTTATTTGAATACCTTTAACATAAATATTATTTTAGTATCTTGAAAATTGAAGCAACTAAAATACTTTAACGAAAATATCTAATTATAATTATAAAGAAAAATCAAATAACCACAAAAAATTAGGGAATGGAAGTGATTGAAATTACACTCTTTATATACATATATACATATAGTTTTATAACATCACCGGGTATACTTGGTAACAAGATGCACATTATCTTTAAATAAAAGTTTTTATGAAAATAATCGAATTTATATATCCCCTTAAATTAACCCTTGATATAAACACATAAAAAAACTTTTACTTTTAGCACAAAGTGGAACAAAAGTAAAAAAACCTATCCGTTGTTGAAAGCTTATATTCATTAATAATAAATGCAATTTTATATAGGTACATATGTATGTAGTTTTTGTGTTTATTACACATATATAAAATTTATAACACATTAATTATAATTACATCAATTTATAAAAATATATATATATACATATTTCAAATATTTAATTATATATAGATATATATGTTTACATATATATATATATATCAATTTATATTTATATATATATATATATATATATATATATATATCATATATATATTAAGTATAATATATATATATATATTTATATCACATATATATTAAGTATAAAACCATACAATCGTAATTATATACGTTTCAGCAATATAGCAGAGTGGAAAACTATTTTTGAAGTAATACTGCTGATATGCATATTAATTAATGTTGTATTATACGCTAAGGGATTTGGGTAAAGACGAACAAACATATTATGCATATATTTACAAACATATATTTTGAAAACTTTATATATATATATACTAATGTATTTTACATATATGTACGTATACATTTATATCTATATACATACATTATGCACATATAAATTTACTATACATACACACAATCATAAACATTTGAATATAACGGTAATCAATAATGCAGTACCATTAGTAGCACTCAAGTATAATAAAGTAATTTTACAATCAAGAGTATATGTATGTAGATGCTAACCAATATCATTCCGATGGCCCTTACAATATACACATACTTCTGAAGGATCAATTTACGTAAATGATGCCCATATTCATACTTATATTACGTGTATTTTCAAATTACCAAAATATATACATATAAAACAAGTAAAAACGTTTCAGTCGGTATAAACCGATTGAATTATACCCTGCACCTTTCGTTGTTGTATAGCAATTACTCGAACCTGTGAAACCATTCTATAGAAACTTCACGAATATGTCTGACCTATAATTGGACACCCAACTGCCTGATTTTATAGTTTTTCCAAATATTTAGATTAAACTTTTGGACTTGTATGGGAGCTACTCCAACCTGTCAAGCAATTCCACCATAACTTCAGAAATTTGTCTGAGCTATAATTAGACACACGACTCTGTTTCAAGAATTTAAAATTAGCTTCTGGAGTTGTATGGCAGGTACCCGAACCTATTAAGCAATTCCACTAAAACTTCACAAATATAACTGACCTATAATTGGACACATGACTGCCAAATTTCATGAATCTGACTTTATTATTTTTTCGAATATAAAAAATTTGCTGTTGAAGTTGTATGACAGCTACCCGAACCGGTACAGCTATCCCATTGAAATTTTTAGAGCATATGTAGAATGTAATTGGACACATGTATACAAAATTTTATATTTATACCTTTATGAGTTTTTGAAATATTTAAAATAAACTCTTTGAGTTGTATGACAGCTACCCGAACCCGTTGTCCGAATTAGTCCAATTACAATAGAGCACGTCCTTGACACAAAAGAAAAAACTTGTGAAAGTTTGGTGTCGATTGCATTATTCGTTTTTGAGTTATCGTGCGATCGGACGGACGGACGGACGGACATGTCTAAATCGACTCAGAATTTTACGCTGAGCAAGAATATATATATATGTCCAAACCGCAAATAACTCCTTCAAGTAGTTACAAACTCCATACCAAAGTTTATATACCCTTCACGAAGTGCAGGGTATAAAAATATTTACTCATATATTCGGCTACATACACTTTATATATACACTATTTATGTATGTATAATATATTATATAGTTGCTCGAACATTATACAAAATCAGATTCAAGAAATCAATTTTAATGGTAAATTATGCAATATTTAAAATTTTATCAAGAAAATTCTTAATATTAATTTGTAATTAACTTGAAATTAGAATATTGATTTTAATCAATGTGTTTCACTATATATACGTGGCTATATGAAGATATTGCTATGTATTTGGACTTATATATGGAATAATTGATTTTTTAAAATCTATTCCATCATCTTTTTGGTTTGTACACATACATATAATTTATTATTAAGTTTAAAATAAGTCTGAGTGTTAATTAAATTTTTACTTATGTAGGTGTAAATATGTATAACAGTCCTTAATCTATGACGTAATATTGTGTTGCTTTGCGCAACATGGAGATAATTTCATACATATGCCCATAATATTTTTCTTCTTCATATATAAAAAGTATGATATTTAATAAATAGGCTCGAGAAGGATCATTTAATTCCGAAAACATGTATAGGCATCATTTATATTTCCCTTTTGTATATACCCCTTAATTGACATGTTTTTAATCAACGTACCATTTCTTTCTTTTAAAAGAAAATACTGCAACAAGAACTTAAAATTCATGAAGTTTATAGGAGAATTTAAAATTATACGAGAAAAAATAGAGTTGACCGTGATACCCGTACGAATTTGTTATCCCATATGCGAATAAATATGCCATAGCTGACTATGGGGCAAACTATGACTTTAAGTTACCGTATTACCATATTAATTAATGCAAAACTTCAGCACTGTGTTTTCAATATTTTCTAGGAGAATCGAGTTACTTAATACACTTGTTTTCACGAGATTTTTATATTATAGTTCCAATAACTTCTGAGATAATGTCAAATAACTTTTGAAGTTGTATGGTATCTACCATAAGGAACCAAGCAATTTCAACGATTAAAATAATGTATTCACTAGTATTGAATTTCAATAGAACAGCTTTTATAGTTCTTGAGATATAGGAAAATAATTTTTGAAGTTGTATGGCAGCTATCAGAAGGAGCCAAGCAATTTCAACGACTTTTATGAAACACTTTGGCGCTACAAATATATTTAGTTTTACGAAATTTCAATACCACAACTTTCATAGTTTCTAAGACGTAGTGAAATAAATTTTGAAGTTGTATGGCAGTTACCCGAACCAGTACCCCGATCATGTCTAATTTAAGTAGGGTTCTGGAGCTTCCTACAATAAATAATTTGTGAAAATTTGGTGAACTTAGCTCAATTAGTTTTTGAGTTATCATACTGGGACGGACAGACGGACAAACGGAGAGACAAAGCTAAATCGACTCAGAATTCGACATCAAAAACATGCACTTGAGTCCATATCTCAGACCATTATTGCTAAGCGTTACAAACGGTAAGGCAAATTTAGTATACCAAGGCAGGTTTTTTTTTTTGAAATTTTTTTTTACAAAATACTGTAGCCAAAATTGACTTCCGTTTGCGCTTACAATTACAACTGGAGTTCATAACGCTAGAGATAAAAATATTCGGACTCATCACTTGCAGGAGGAATACATTACAATTACAATAGTATTACAGGATTATGACTCTTGGAAAGTTCCATAGTTTGTGATAATGACTTTGCCTAGTATTGGCAAATATATATTTAAAATATATTATAAAAAACCAAAACCATGGTCTAGAACGTAATTAGCTTTTACACCAATAAACTAAATGATATTTAGGATTTTTTATAAACTTCATTATAAATTTATAGTAACCAGTTTCTATTACTAATTAATAAAAACTTATATTTTTCTTTCAATTTCAGAAAATTTATTGCGCATAAACAACAAGTGTCCTATAAGAATGTTTTGGAGAATTTTTTATATCTTATTGGTCGCAACAAATTTTACTGTATCTCTAGGTAAGCTATTAAACTTTAAACAAAACAAAGCAATATTATTTATTGATAAAACAATGTTATTTGTTTGATACACTTTTGGTGGTGAACTCAGTTGTGTGTAAGAGTTAAAATTCAAAAATATAATTACTCAAAACTAATTGTAAATAAAATTCTTGGCATAAACCGAAACTCTTCAATTTTACCAGCCCTATTTATGTAGATGCAAGTTACGGTCGAATTTCCTTTTATTTTGGCGTTAAATAAATACATTACGTATACGTACTTACAATACAAATAAAAACTTGTAATTTTTATTTAGAATTTATTAATATTTATTTTTAAAATAAAAATTTAAACTTACATTTTCATTTCTCATCTTTAAACAACATTTTGAATATTAATAATAAAATTAATAAATAAAGAATTTTCAATCTCATATTAATTTTGCAGATATTTTTATTAAAATGTTAAATAATATTAATTTTTATTTTAAAGATACATATACATATATACAAATAAATTCTTTGATATTTTATTCAAAAAAAAAGCAAAATTATTTTTATAATGCATCACTCTTATTTTACTAATGAAAGAGCAATATGTACATAACACACTCTTTGTATGAACGTATGTACAAAAAAATAATTTTATATAGAGTCATATGAGTACAATTATGTAGACCAAATTAACACGTTAATACTAGGTCCATTTCTCAACTATGTATGTATATACATATGAATGTATTTTTATGATAACAGAAAATATTTGAACACATAAAAGGTTATATGAAATTGAAAATATTCACATGCAATAACAAAGGAAATGTTTTATGTTTGTGGTCATCATCAATTACAAAGTTAATCATTTCCAATACAATTTTTACGCAGGAATGTACGTTCTTTTTTTTTGTTTTTTTATTTGTGAATGATTTAAATATTTATATATGTATATATGTACGTACATTATAAAGCATTATTTTTTTTAAATTATTTTTTGAATTGCAATCAATTTCATTGTAAAAAGCAATCTGATTAAAATTGTATGGTTGAGAAATCATCAAGAGTGAAGAAAATAAAAAATAAAGTAAAATTTATATGTATACTTTTGCACATACATTATTATTATTATGCACATACTCGTAAAACATATGCAAAATTATGAGAACCTGTGAATTTTTCATTTCCATATACATATGTACGTATCTACATATTTAAAAGGACAAAAACGTAAATTGTAGAGAAAAAAAAGATCGCTAAATGCCTTTAATAAATTTAATCCTTTAGTATTTTAACACAACTTGAATACCATCCATATTACAAACATTATGAATTGATGATTAAAGAGGTCATGGTTTTAAATGGAATTTACGCCTTTTAATTGGAAAATAATTTTTTTTCGTAATTATCTTATAATATACAAGCGAGTATTTTATACATACATATGTACATATGTGTGTACATATTCCATATATGTATGTACATATGAATATAAATATAATGTAAAAAAACTACTACAAGTACATCATATGCCTGTGCATTAAGCAGGATACAGAAAAAAATTTCCATCGTACAATCGTTCCCTTGTATTCGAAATATAAAACATGAATTTTTTTAATTTAATTTCTTTTCAAATTTTTCAATTTTGTAAACAAGAGATTATTATTGTGACACATCCATCAAGCCCAACAAAAGCTACTAAGTTATAATGCATTGATTATAAATTTACTAATTAAAATTTAGTTCAATATATAAATTTAAAATTAACTGGAATTCTCACAATTAATCCTTGTTAACACACCAGTCGTGTTCTTTCGATTTATTTTTAAGTTCTTGAATATGTTTCTTCCCACTTGCCTAGAAATTTTTTTTTTCTTTTATTCAAAATTTTCTATTTTCTTCTTTTTTTAAAAAATGTTTTGAACCTAAAAATCTATTAACACGAAGACAATTTTTTTTGTTAGTATTGTTTTTTGCCATTTATTTATTAAATTCAAGCACACACTTCTGCTTTTTAAACAGAATAAAGTGGTGTCAAGAGGCAAAAATGACGAAGAAGTAAGTGGACATTATGGAAAAGCTAATTAAAAAAAAGTTCATTTTTATAGAAGAGTAATAATTTGAAAACTAGTGTAGAAATCTCCACAATCCTAAACGTATCAAGTTTAAAACATTCATAATTTGAGAAAGTCCTTCACTTGAAAAATACCTAAGTATGCAATATTGATAACATGACTATTGCTGCAGTGGTTATGGCACCAGTCCTTCAACCAAAGGGTCTCAGGTTCAATTCCCGGTCAGGCCACTATTAAATTATATTCAATATTATTATAGCTTATTATATATAATACTTTAAGATACTAAAAAACTTATTATTTTCGATAAACTAAGAAAAATAAACAACAAATATCAATAACCTTAAATAAATATAAAGCAAAAAACTACGGCAGGCTAGTCACTAGCTACTTTTAATATCTATGATGCCATGAGACTGGTGCATAAATATAATTTTAATAATTTAGTAAAGCAATTGCATTAAAATAGACATATTTTTAGAAAATCACTCCGGCATACATCATAAAAATGGTTAAGTGTTCCGATTCGCGTTAATTGGTAATCCGTTTATGGCAATTATCGTATGTCAAAGATAAAATCAGAAACTACTTGGGTTCCACATTTAAAAAAACTAAAGTTTTAAACCTTTTATACAAACAGCCTTTGAACTTAATTATTTTTGTTTTTAAATTCTGTATTTAAATGATTAACAGTGTCGGCCAAATCGAAAATTAGTTCGACCCGATACAATGTCGCAAGCTTTTTTTTAAATTATACCAAAAGTTCTTTCTTATACATCGTTGGGTGAGACATTGCAAATCATAAAAATGTCTTTAGAAAAATATAAAAGATCTCTCCAAACGAAACAGTTATAAATAACGTGTTTTTACATTTTTGAACTAATTTTGACTAATTTTGAATACAACATTTTATAGCATTTACGTTTGTGTGTTTATAATTTTATTTCACTAACGAGTAAGAGTTCTGTTCGTAGCAATCAAATAAACATGTATTTTTTTACTTCTTAATACAGCACAAATAAAATAAATTGCAAATATTATATAAGAATGTATTAATGTGTTAACATCGAAAACCAGGCCTAATTCTATCTTCATAAAGAAGACATAAACTCTACAAAAAGAATATCAGTTGAAAGTTTTTTTTCATTCTTCTTTTACTTTTTGCCCTCAAACAAAAAGAAGATGTTTTGAAAACGTGACGCGGATTATCTCCGCTTATGAAATGTCGATCTTTTTTATACCCGTACGAACGTATGTTCGAAGGGTATACTAAATTTGCCTTACCGTTTGTAACGCTGAGAAATAACTGTCTTAAATATAGACTCAAGTGTATGTTTTTGATCAACGTCGAATTCTGAGTTGATTTAGCTTTGTCTGTCCATCCGTCCGTCCGTCCCAACGATAACTCAAAAACTAATTGAGCTAAGTTCACCAAATTTTCACAAATTGTTTATTGTAGTAAGTGCCAAAACCTATCTAAATTGGACATGATCGGGACACCAATTCGGGTAGCCGCCATACAACTTCAAAATTTATTTGGCTATATCTCAGAAACTATAAAAGCTGTGGTATTGAAATTTCACACAAACGGATATATTAATAGGGCCAATATGTCTCATAAAATTCGTTGAAATTACTTGGCTCCTTCTGGTACCTGCCATACAACTTCAAAAGTTATTTGGCTATATCTCAAAAACTATAACAGCTATGGTAATGAAATTTCACACAAACGAATATATATTAGTAGGGCTAATATTAGTTGATAAAAGTCGTTGAAATTATTTGGCTCCTTCTGATACCTGCCATACAACTTCAAAAGTTATTTGGCTATATCTCAGAAACTATAAAAGCTGTAATATTGATATTTTGCACAAGCGAATATATTAGTAGGGCCGATGTGCTTGATAAAATTCGTTAAAATTTCTTAGCTCTTTCTGGTAGCTGCCGTACAACTTCAATAGTAGTTTGGCACACACAGTATTTAGAAAAACACAGTAGTGAAATTTTGCATAAATTAATATGGTAATGCGGCAACTTAAAGTCATTGTCTGTCCTATAGTCAGTTATGGCTTATTTATTCGGACATAGGATAACAAATTCGTGATAAGGTCAACTCTATTTTTTCTCGTTTTTTTTTTAATTTTTGTTTTAGAATTTTATATTAAATTTAGCATAAAAGTGTTATTGTGGCAGTTTGAATTATTTTGAACCGTATGGTACTTAAAATATTATATTTAAAATATTTCCATACGGAAAATATATAGTTTCGTTTCAAATACTTTCCGGAGAATGTAGAAAGCTATCGTAAACGTTTGTTATGGATAAGGTAATAATAGAAAATATATAAAAGTCATCTTCAAGATTTTGTGGTAAATTAGACAAGATTAGCTATTCAATTATTTATTTTTGTTTTAGAGTGAAATGTTGATTTCATTTATTCTTATAGTTTCAAATAATTAGACCCATGCCTCGCTTTACAATATTTTAAATTACAATGAAAAAAAATCTGATGTGATCAGCACATAACCGACCGCAATGTATATTGTCTAGTTAAGTAAAAGTATTACAGAAGATTAGAAAAATGCCTTTTAAACACTTTTTTTCCAATTTTTACAGCATATCCAATAACGATATAAATTCTAATTCCTCATAAATATTAATAATTATAGAAAAATAGCTATAATTCTAATTTTAATGAATTCTTATGCTTCAATTTTCTTCCACCAATAAATTTATTAGTGAGTTATAATTGGCTTTTTTATGAAAAAATATCCGTTTGGATTTAATTTTGAAACGTTTCTACACAAGAACTTCGAATTGTGAAAGTTTTGAAGGCGATAAAATTTTTGTAGAAGATAGGACCATGATGTTGGTGTGTATCCATTTATATATACATATACATATATATGTACATGAAAACATTATACAATAGTTGTTACGAATGTACAAT